CAGCAGCATATTACTACGACTGGCTTTACATATGCAAAACGATGATACTCTTCAGTTCAAATGGATTAACTATATAAAANGACATTACTAGCTCATCTCGTGGGCAGTTCTACACTCTATTTAAAACGGAATTTGGTCTAGAAAAATATTTATTAAATCTGCCAGAACATATCAGAACACCAATAACAAAACTGCGCACCTCGAATTTGAAGTTTCCAATTGAAACAGGTAGATGGTATAACATACCCCGAGATAATCGACTATGTAATTTGTGCGCGGAAAGTGTCGGAGATGAATTTCATTATCTATTTGAATGCAATAATTTAACTATATCCACCTTACGTAACAAATATATTCCTCGTAATTATTGCACAAACCCAAATATTTATAAGTTTAAAGGTCTTTTATCATTATGCAATCAACGAGTTCTGACAGGTTTATCTATTTTCCTAACCAAAATGGCTCCTCTTTTGTGAATGATGCATATGTATAACTGTTAATAGTTAAATAACTTGTGAATTATATGTATGGTTGTTTTTTTTGTTTGCTTTGTATTTTCCATTGTATGTCATATCATGTTACTATACCGTACCGAATCTAAATTGAACTGTCCCTTCTCTCAGTTATACATGTGTATACAAATATGTATATTGTACTTCATTTTCCATATCTGCAACTTTATTTCCTCATGTAACACATATTATGTGTCTGAGTGCCGATACAATTTTGCTTGTATACATGCATGCACCTGTCCATCCAGTCAAAATTTAATATATGAATTCATGTACGTGTAACTCATGTTACACATTTCCATGTATTTGAGTGTTGGAAATAAAATCTGAAATCTGAAATCTGTATATATTACTTAGTGCGTCGAGCGATTTTACTTGTAATACTACCTTACCCAAGCGATAAAACTCGCCACATTGGACATCGGCTAAAGGTCATCTCTTTATTGACTAAGTAACCTCCCTGAAAGATAGATATATTTTCGGTAAGACTGATTTTAAATCTGTTCGTCTTTTGCCCACTCAAACTGCACAATCACACTCGCAGTTAAAGTCAATTACGCCAGTGTATGCTCAATATTTTATCCTGAGGGTTTGAATTACCTTATTCTTACCTCACATCACGGATGGATTCTATTTCTCGCTTCCAGTCAAATATGGTTGATATCCATGGCATAGTTCTACAGAAGAAGTCGTTTGTAGCAATATAGCCGAATTGACCCCTTTTTGCAGCACGGATGGCAATTGTTAATGACGTCAATGACCCTGACTGACCCCAAAACGTCATAAAATGACGTCACGAACAAAAGCGTGACCCCGAAAGGTTACTACAATTCCCCCACCAGCCTGCGCGTGTAAGCGAGGCCCGTGGGTCGGATAGAATTTTCCAGCACCGCCGGAAATGCGGACATCTCGGTCTAGTATGCAAAAATAATAGAATCCATCCCTGATATGAGGTATGGATAAGGTAATTCAAACCCAAGGGATAAAATATTGAGCAGGAGATCCGAGGCTTTGCCGAGGGTCTTTTGCTCAATATTTTATCCCGAGAGTTTGAATTACCTTATCCACACCTTTTTTCAGGGATGGATTCTTTTTCTTGCTTATTACCTTAAACCCGTAAAATAGCAGCTCTTCTAGTAAAGTTGCAAACTGTCCGCATATTTCACATTTGCATATGAAGCCCGGATCGCGATTGTTAATGACGTCAATGACCCTGACTGACCCTAAAACGTCATAAAATGACGTCACGAACAATAGCGTGACCCCGAAAAGTCATTATAATTCCCCCGCCAGTCTGCGCGTGTAAGCGATCCAGACCCGCAGGTCGGATAGAATTTTTCAGCACCGCCGGAAATGCGGATATTTCGGTCTAGTATGCAAGAATAATAGAATCGTTCACCCCCTTGGGGGTGAGACAGGGTAATCTCAACCCGAGGGGTAAGACTCTTAAGTTGTCAAACACGAGGCTTGCCGAGTGTTTGACAGCTTAAGAATCTTACCCCGAGGGTTGAGATCACCCTGTATCACTCCCAAGGGGGTGAATTATTATTTTTCTCTTACCCTATTTACCCTCTTATGTATTTTATATAGACGTTACATCAATGCAAGACAATGTTGATGTGTTGCGGCTGAATTGTCGACGTGACGTCATTGTGTTGTTGCCGTGACGTCATGGTATTGTTGCTATGACGTCATACAATTGTTGAGAACGTGCAAAGAACACGTGTAGCTTGTCTCAACCCTAGGGTGAGATAAGAAAATCTCACATCGGTAAAATGGTGGATATCCCTGTCCATGGTAAGAGAAAGGAGAATCTCAACCCGAGGGGGAGGATTCTTAAGTTGCCAAACACGAGGCTTTGCCGAGTGTTTGGCAACTTAAGAATCTTTCCCCGAGGGTTGAGATTAATAGAATCCATCCCTGATGTGAGGTATAGATAAGGTTATTCAAACCCAAGGGATAAAATATTGGGCAGGAGACCCGAGGCTTTGCCGAGGGTCTTTTGCTCAATATTTTATCCCGAGGGTTTGAATTACCTTATCCTTACCTCACATCAGGGATGGATTCTATTTCTTGCTTTTCATCTAAAACCCGTAAAAACAGCTTCTCTTCTAGTAAAATTCTAAACTGTCCGCACATTTCTTATTTGCATATGAAGCCCGGATGGTAATTGTTAGTGACGTCAATGACCCTGACTGACCCTAAAACGCTATTAAATGACGTCACGAACAATAGCGTGACCCCGACAGGTCACTATTATTCCCCACGCCAGTCTGCGCGTGTAAGCGATCTAGACCCGGGGGTCGGATATAATTTTCCAGCACCGCCGGAAATTGCGGATATCTCGGTCTAGTATGTAAAAAGTAATATGACGTTGCTAGCCTATAAAACTGTAAAAAAGTATTTAGAATTTCTTCAACTTCACTTAAAATGTATCATTTCCATTTTGTGACTAAAGTTATGAATCGTGGACAATCTTCACAAAAACATGTAACTACGAATTGATCAATGACTGAAGAGTATTACACTGTTTGTAACAATGTAATACTTGTAATATCATCGATAGTGACGTCAGAATTAAGACAATACACATGATATAATGGTATAGTAATGAAATGTCGCAAGTTGAAAAAATATATTTTATCTAAAATCAATATGGCGTCCTTGAGACCTGACAGTGGTTATGGAAGGTTTTGAATTTCGAGTTTCTTTTTAAATTTCGATGTATGGAGGTTTACGAGACAATATGTAATTGATTATCTCATTCGTGTAAACTAGGAATGTCGAAGGGCAGAAACAGGTTTTGGAAAATTCCCCATTTGGTCTGAGTTTGATGGGTTTTCTTAAATGTCAACTGTGACATACACTGTATTATATATACGTTTATAGGAATTTCCACTGTAATATTTTATTCAAATTCCGTGTGTTATGTTAAGCTTTGATAGGCTTGAAGTGACGTACGTAAATTAAAACACATTTTTAAGCCATTCAAAATGATTATTTATTATCAAGCATTGTATGGCCTCAAAAAACCAACTGAAGCGTTTCACCAGGTGTCCACTTTCTATTAGTCAAAAAAAAAAATATCCGCACTTTTTGAATTATTAATGAAAAATGAATAAAATTAACCGATAAGTTGTTACTTAGTTCTTGTGACGGTGCAGCTTAATTTTAACTTAGCCAACCTATTTCGCATTAGATAAATTTTGTCTGTAGACTGTTCAAAATGATCTCTTTAAGAATTCAGGTAAATTGTCTGTTAGTGTATATGTATAGTTTCACATTTGCTAGTTTAATTTATTTTTCCATATACTACTTACGTGTTGCGAAATTGGTTTATTTGCTACGAATTCAATTTTTAGGCACTTCCATTTCTTTTTATAGAAAATCTACAAGTCATTGTGCTGGTGTATGCAAATTTCGAAATTTGTAATGTGTGTGCTGATTGCAACTATATTGCTGACTAAGTATTTGTACCTTTAACTGAATAAAACGAAATGAACGATTTTCAATTAATTTATACATTAGCTACTGAAAAAAGAACTAATCTCTCTAAATAACACTTATAACTGTCACTGAGTTCAAGTCGGTTCAGGTATTTTTGTTGGCATGACGAATACACATCTTAGTATAAACTTTATTTGCCACGGTCATAGTGAATATTAACTCAACAAAGATGGATACAAGTTTTCAAAAAAAAAAAACGTTTGTTCTAAACATACCATCATACCTAACAGATTATTTTCTTAATTATGCTTTCGTGAAATAAAGGAGAATCAGTATAAAGATCTTCCTGTATGTGTTTAATTGAAACAGACTATTGGCGATAACGCATCTTGTTCTCAAAACATTGCCTGTGTAATAGAAAGGAATGGTTAGTTTAAACTTTATCTTATTATCGGTATAACGGTTCCAGTAATACAAACATGATATACACATAGGATTTGAAAAGAAGTACAAAGTACTTATGTTAATCCGTCTCCTTAAAACGGCGATTGGACGGCACTGACGAATATTATGCAAATAGATACAAATATTTGGAAAAGAACAGGATGGGGGAGGAAGAAGGGGAAAAGGTGAAGAAAGTTTTGTTGGGGTTAAGATATAGGGGAGTACATTACATTTACTGCATTATGGGAGGAAAAATTGGTTGGAGTATTTTTTGGATATGGACACATGTCGAGGACTGTACACGTCACTGAGGTATTCAACACACAATAAATTAATTGCATATAATGAAAACTGTCCATTCCGACCCCTGAGTATTCCGACATCCAGTGGTGAACAGTAACCTGGTGTAATTTAAAGTATCAAAAGTATCATCAAACAAGACTATGACGGTTGACTAATACATTAGCTACCTTCGCGCATCGGAACATACGGTCGTACTATGTCCATTCCTTAAATAATCAGGAAATATTGGTCTTTGATATTGAAAAGTTCTTGACATCATTAAAGAAAAAAACAAAATAATCATACAACCTTTGCATTATTGATGTCGTTTTAATATGGTCAATATACACGATGAAAACACAACCGAAATGCCTCGAAACAATACATGGCATGCTCGATACGACAGTAACCTTAACAACACGAGTGACGTGCATGAAATACGGGTACACGTGTGATGGGACATTACTATCCCGGAAACACCTTTCTGGTTCGTTCCAGACAGCTGATTGACCATCAACTCCAAACGTTCGACGTTTACGGTCAGCAAGGACACTCCGAGTAACACTTGACTTCAGCATCACTGGAATAAAGAAGGCACATAGATGTGTGTCATGCTTAATAATATATATATATATAAGCTGTAGTATTTTGCTGAAGTATTTGTTATATTCGCATGCTCAATTTGACACTCCTTTAACAGATAAAAGACATGACAGTATATAAACGCTGTCTTTCTTTTTTTTCAAAATAAGACTCTTAGAATTAAGCACACTGCGCATACCTAATCATGTATCAGACATCTTCAATAATGTTGAGGCTAGATGGTACGGTGCATTGAATTCACCGTTGGAATTTATCTGTACGGTAAGTTTGAGAGGAAATAATCAGTCACTTCTTCATGATGGAAACTGAGAAATTGCAACCCTCCGGATAGGATTTTCGAAGTTAAGTACTTAGCAAAGCCTAGTGACAAAACGCAAACATCTAACTTTCGAATATGCGTTACTCTGTCTACATCCAACAGCAGCACCCGATTATATTAGTTTCAATCTACCTATTTTCGTTGAAAGGATATGGAAATCGTTTAAACATGCGTATTTGAAAGTGATACAGGAGCTTGCACAAGTAAACGCAATATATGGAAAAGCCTGACAGGTTGAGGATCGAATTTGCAAAATGACTTACAACGGATCTACTCAGAAATTAATGACTTACAACGATTAAACCTATATTATACTGACTTGCAACGGGCAAAACAATAGTTGAAGTACGTGCGCCCGTCTCCGCCGCAAACTGCGTCGTTGTCCAACCAGCAGTGCGAGCACGAATTCGACTCCGCCACGGGCGGAGCGGGAGGGGCGGGCGGGAAGGGCTGAAAGGGCATGAAAAGGGAGAAGAATGGGTCCTGTGTAGGTGGCGGTAGTGTGGTGGGGGGCGTCGTGACCCTTCTCTGACTAGTCTCAACCTCCACTTTCTCACGATCACAAGGACACATTCCGGCACAGTTCAGCTCTACATTTCTGGTGAAATAATAAAATCAATGGTGTCAAGATTTTTAGGTTTTATTTTGTTTAACGTCCTATTAACAGCTGAGGTCAAGGACGTGCCTCCATGTGCTTTGTGTATGTGGGTGTGCGTGTGTGTGTGTTTATGTCAAAAACCCATTTTTATTTTAACATTTATATAATTTAGACGCAACGCATAGATAGATTACGATTACAAGTTGCAATAAATCTGTTTAGGTTTTACGTTTGGAGGACATTTTAACTAAATAAAACAACGGGAGAAACAGACAATCTGATTAAAATCATATCCTACGTTCTCTACGTATCACGTTAGGGTGATACATAGAGAACGTAGGATATGATTTTAATCAGATTGAGAAACAGACTGCCCAAGTGATGGCACCAACTCCATAAACATGATTGCTAATCAAAATATATTTATAACCATTCAACTGCTTCCAAATGTCAATCATGGTCATCTGAATGCTACCTCGTAACAGGAAAATGACACGAAGCACACACGAAAGCAGTTAAACGCTTAAAGAGACTATAATGTATCTTAGACTGCTAACAGCAGTATTTATATGTAAGAACGCATAAGTCTAAATTCATCATGATTTCATATCTCGTACTTGTAGTGTCAAATTATCGGATTTATACTTATTGTCTAATATGGTCCTAAGGTTAATTCAACCTTGCCCAATACTCACGCGCAATGCCTTTCGCAGTCGTTGTAGTATACTTTGCTGTCCTTGCCACAAACGGGGCTATACGGCTGGTTTTCGCATGTACATGGAGCGGGCGTTTTGGGTGGAGGTGTGGTCATGGGGGCACGAGTAGTGGGTGGGGGTGTGGGGCAGGGGCACGGTCCGCGGCACTTCTCAAATTGGTTCCTATAATCAAACAGATCATGATAAACAAACACTGTAATGCGAATCAAATAACTTATCTTACCGAGAAATATGAAGACATTCCTAAGTTCAAATCAACCATCATATTGAGCTGGACCATAATTGTTATAAATAATTAATTAAATGCTTCACGAAAGCAATAAACAACTAACGATTAGAGTGATCAATATTGAACTATGAGAAACAACCATAGTATGAAGTTTTAACGTTAGATACTAACGGTAGATATTGCAAGCAATTTTTACATTCTATTTTACAACGTATCACCCTTACTTGTATACATGTACCTTAAATTTCAATGTATTTAAAATCATTTTGTATTATGAAAAATCGAAAAAATAAGCACCAATTTAACACATTTCATTGAATAATTGAAAAACAGTTGATCACCTAAGCTCAATAAGACGATATCATTACCCCTATGCCATTATTTTATAATGTGCCAAAAAAAGACCGAAATATAGCATTAAAATGCCATTTAAAAATCATAATGCAAAATATCCTATATTATTGACAAAAACATCAATATAGCGGTACGTATATACTACAAATCGAAAACTACATGGTACCGATTTTAATGTGTCAGGAGTCTGTTTTCAATGGGTTCATGCATTTTAAAAGCCTACAATGGTTGGCAGAACTGACGAATTTTTCGGTCAGTGTTATGAATGTTTGAGTCTACTCACGCACATCTGAGTTTACAGTAATTATCGTATGTGTGTTCGTCCGTACCACATACGGGCGCATACGTAGGGCCACATCCACATGGAGGTGGGGGTGAGGGTGGGTTGGGCGCGGCGAAACAAGGGCAGTAACCCGCACAAGCCTTCGTTACCATCCTGAAATCAAATGACAGAGGAAATGTAAAGGGTTGTACCATCCTGAAATCAAATGACAGGGAAATGTAAAGGGATGTACCATCCTGAAATCAAATGACAGGGGAATGTAAAGGGATGTACCATCCTGAAATCAAATGACAGGGGAATGTAAAGGGAGGTACCGTCCTGAAATCAAATGACAGAGGAAATGTAAAGGGATGTACCATCCTGACATCAAATGACAGGGAAATGTAAAGGGATGTACCATCCTGAAATCAAATGACAGAGGAAATGTAAAGGGAGGTACCATCCTGACATCAAATGACAGGGAAATGTAAAGGGATGTACCATCCTGAAATCAAATGACAG